TCGAATGTTTTGATAAAACGTTAGGCAAAGGATATAGATTCTATTGCGGATAATTTATTTCACCTGAAATGCAAAGATTAAGAGTGTTCCAAGTTTTAATGACATACCAGCTCATTAGAAAGTGAAACTTCATTGAATAATGTGCATGTGGTCCTTGCATCCTAAAATAACTGCAAAAAAAGATTGAGATAAATATTAACTCCAGTAGTTGAGAAGTCCAAAAAAAAATAATTTTAATTTCTAGAAAGATTGAAGAGCATTTCCGATGATTTTTTTTCCAATTCCTGATAACTTTTCAGACAGAAAAGCTCAAATTGAAACACCTGCCATCAGAATTGGTGATATAATCGGTGAGTAGTAGAAGAAAATTGTTTGATTACTAGAAAGATTGAAGAGCGTTTCCGATTCATTTTTTTTTTCCAATTTCTGAGAAATTTTTAGACACGAAAGTTCGAATGAAACACCTGCCATCAGAATCGGTGATATAATCGTACGCAAGGGCTTCTTTCAGTAAAAAAAAAATATTGAATAAAACATATAGGTGAGGAGCATCTTGAACGTGAGCACGATGGAGTCAAAGAGATTGAAAAAAATTAAATAGAATAAAATTGAACTTAAAATTCCTGTTAGAATTGCAAGATAAGAAATTTCGATTCTCAGAACACCTGGAGAACAATTCATAGGAAAAACCAAACAGCTCATGATCATAATTTAATTTCTCCCTTCAAGAAGCGAACTCCACCAACCAATTAGGCGTGAGGAAAACAGCAAATCGACAATTAAGAACAAATGATCCTCTTTTCCTCTTTCACATAATATAGCATTTTCTAACAATATATACAGCCATTTCAATTTACGTTGTCGGATCAAAGCTTCAAGGGTACGGGACAAGACCGAAAGGCGGTATGGGTAGATTAGAATTAATTTTAGGCTTTCGGGGTTGTCGGCGCGAGATGGACATGGAGGCTGAAAATACAATTAGTATTGCCTTGCGCGTCTCATTAAGATCCCATATTCCCCTTCGGTCTTGTCTTGTGGGCTTGAGGCTTTGATCCGACAACGTAAATTGAAATAGCTGTTTGTATTAAAGAAACTGAAGAAGGAACGTTAATGAGGCAACCACTAGCTTAGAGTGGCTTGGGATGACTAGGCAACGGCAGGCACTGAATTAGAGTTTTACGTTCTCAGCGTGGATACTCGTCAGAATTTAGGAGGTAATGCAATGTTTTATGGGATCATAACGTTTTTTGATACGACATTAACAGCATTAGCTACTGGTACCAAAACACCGGAGCAACGCTGGTTCAACCATTCGTTAAAGTTGCGCACATATTGGGTGTGATCATTATATCATTACACAGTCACTAGCCTACGTGTAGCCGTACCCCCTTCCCCCCCCCCCCCCCCCAAGGAGAAACGAAAGGGAGCGAACGTCAAAACCTGACATGGTCGTGTTATTCGACGTCACTCAAATGTCACTCAAAATCTATGCAAAAATATGCAACTTGATAATAATGTGAATTTTCTAATATCGCAAATTGCTGTGGTTGCTTTGTCTACTGAAATTCCCTAACGGAAGTTCTGAATAAACCATCCATCTTCATAGTCCATTTTCCAGTCCGGAGACTACCAAATAACACGATAAGCCAAAAAAAAATTTTCGTGATTTAACTAATTGGTACTATCTCTTGTATCTCAATAACCGAATATGCATGTATTCACTTCCCTAAGACACCGCCGCGAATGCGATCTTTTAAACATAACACACTTTTTCCTTATTTCAATGAGGCTATCATTGTTTACTTAGAAACGGAAAGGGTTTATTTTGATTGATGAACTTGGTAAGAAATAGATTTCCCATCGATAAATGCTTTCGTGCAGTTAACGTGACAATTTGAAGGGCATAAATTTATAATCAGACTGTCTCTAAAGCTGCTCAAATACCCCTTTGTAAATTAGCTGGTATTTACCCTTCTTTCAAATCGTATTTTAATGAGATCACAGAGTTTCAAATATCTCTAAATAATTTGTTTTACAATCATTCGCGTTCGCTTTAAATCTTTCCTATTCTGGGCTACTTTTTGTACCTAGTTTCTTCATATAGCCTTGACTTACAGCTCAGTAAAATTATCTCACCGTTTTGGTCTGAACGACGAACACAAGGTCAGTTCTATAGGTAGTCTCTCTGTTTCGCATACCTCGCACGCATCGCATGCCTCGCACACCTCGCACGCCTCGCACCAAGAGTCGCATGGCTGGTCTGCGTATTGGCAACACTCATTAATGGGATGCTTTGGCTAGCAATTCAAGCCTAAAGGTCAAGTGAAACCGCCAGAATTAACGAATTGTGCATTATGTTATGGCTAGGGTTTTTAATTAGCCATTTAAAATTTATCTACTTTGGCTAATTAAGATGCAAATGTATTACACGAAATATATATGTTTGTTAGCAGATCTAGAAAGCATATTGCTCGCAGTCACGAGTCTTCATCGAGCTTCATTGTCTTTGGTCAACTCTGCAATTCCCTGAAAGCTTCGACTCTTTGGTAAGATTCCAAATATTCACCATGTTTAGGTTAACGTCATTATGTTAACATTCCCTTTAATTTAAAATTACTTCATTTAAATTTCTGGTTGTTTGGCGCATGCTGCTTTCGACAAAGACTTATGAGAAACGTTGAAGTCGAAACAGAATTTTTTACAATTTTTAGTGTTATCTGTTTTTGTTTTTGTCCTCAAACTGATGTCATTTTAGCGGCTACAAACGACCGATGATTTATCCCAGTTAGTTTTATTAAACAAAAAACTCAAGTGCGCGAGATATCGAGATATCGAACTTCCTTTGCAAACTTGACCACTTGAAAAATAATTTTTTTCCTCAATTAATTCGGCATTTCGGAGTTTACAACGGACGATGATTTACTCTTGTTACTTCTACCTCAAAAATATTTTCAGTTTTTCGAGAAATTTAACTTCGTTTGCTTACTTGAGTCGAAACAGAAAATAATATTGAACTAGAAATTTCTTTTCCATCCTTCTAACCAATCAGATGCTGAACTGAAATAAATCCAGTGTAATTCACTAACATCTTTTAAGATTAGAATTTCACCGCACTTCGAGCATTGGATTTTCGTAATTTGTTTTTTCTTGATTGGGTTTGGTGATTACAGTGGTTTTGGTTTTATAACGTTCAATCGCGCTGGTGTCAATCTGTTTTCATTGACTTGTTCCGTGAAGCTGCAGCTGTTTGACTCAGGAAATAAATAAGTAAAAAAATAACGACTACAAAAAGAAAAAAAAAAGCGTGAAAAAAGAAAGAATGAGAGAAAGAAGAAGAACGAAAATAAGAAGGGAAAAAATTGACCGAGGGCGTTTGAGGCAAGACGGGTCTGGGTCCTAGTTAAGAAAGCTTGGTTAAACGTCAGTTCTTGTTCGCTAGGTTGTCTTCTTAAACCGGAAGTTTTGTTATGTGCAAAAACTTACATTCAAACTTTTGATATAAAGACTTTGGCATTAGTTCGATTTTAAAATTTTGCTCGATACTTGACGTGTTAAGGATGTTCCTCTTGCAAATTTATAGTTCTTGGCAATGATAGACAAAGGGTTTACAGGTGGATATCTTACAGTCGTTCAGTTTAGATTTTTAAGATGCATAATAATCTTCTTGGTTTAAAACTACACCGCAGTTAAGATTGATATCAATAGGATCCTTAATTCCTTTACTTCCAAGATCCTATTAGTAATTCTCCTTACTGTCTGCCATACAATTCTCATGACGCTTGTTTGGAGAATTTGGTATTGGATCAACTACTACTACACTTGCTGATATTTTTTGTTTTTCTGATCACTTGTCTGTTTGTAATTGTTTTGATATTGCAAGGAAAAGTTCTGTTTTGGTTAATCGAGGGAATCTTAAGGGTTATGAGAACAACATAAATGTTTTTATCCAATCAATCATAAAAATTACAATTTACTCGATTGCGATGGGTTTTAAAAAGACTTCTATTTTCCACTAATTCAATCGCTAAGTTGTTGGTGGACGGTTTGTTATCGGCTATCTCTTATAGGACAGTTCAATAAGCCGATCACTTTCAAAATTGTAGTTTTAATCAACCAATCACAACCTTGGTTTCAATCATCATAGAAACAGTGTGCAGACTCCCAAATTGTGGCTTTTCTTCAAATTTCCCGTTCTTTTTAAACTTGGCTATTCTTCTTTTTTCGGAAATTGTAATTTTTATGATCAACTGATAATGAGACTGCGTGTCGTCCAATTCGGTTAGTAATCATGCTCCTGATAAACAAATTGGGACTTTAGCTGCGCGGTTGTCTGACTTTGTTATCACTCGTATGATTACAGACCGAATTGAACTCCACTCAGCCCTATCTCCATTACTTAATTAAACTTTGCAGTCTCGAAAAAATAAATCTAAGTCAGTCTCAAGGCAGTCAAATGTAACTGATGGATACGGTGAGGATGACACAAAAAATAGTTTTCATCAGTGGATATGATCTTCATTTCAAAAGAAGACCACATTAGGTTTTTGTTTTATATTTAAATTACAAACAGATGTTGAAAATTTCGCTGTAGCTATACAATACTCTTTTTACTTGCAAATATTAATAAATCGTTTCTTTGAGGATTTCCATAACAATGAGCTCAGCAGCAATCTCTGCCATGCCACCTCAACATAATCATCAATGAAACAGACTACGCGAAATCCACAACTGCGCTTAATTTTGGTGACTTTTTGATGAATATTTGTGAAGCTTTTTCAGCTGACACAAACAGGAACTAATCTCTACGGCATATTTCCTATGCTTAAACCAATTCTCAAGTCTCGACATGCAGTTTGTGTGATAGAAGATGTTATCAATTTAAAGACTTATTTGGTCATAGCTCCAGGGGAATATTTCCTGTGTTTGGTGAGAAAATATTAGCAAACGTATTTCCTGTAGAATTTTAATTTTGGTTTGTTTGTTCTCATGCATGTATGCCGCGTTACTTGAAACGTATATCGCGAAGAAGATCTTATACGATAACAGTTGAGCTGAACGATTTAATGCCCAGTTTCATCCGTACTTATATATCGAGGAGTAAAAAAGTTACGAGCCTGAAGGTCTGTAGACAGGTTTCAAGGTAAGACAACTAAGACAAGCCTGAGGGTTTTTATTGATACGACATAAAAGATATTTTGAAAAAACTGCAATTTAGAAAACGGTTTTATGAGCCAGGTTCTCGCGCGTTTGCCGAAACGTAGGCCAAGCGCGAAAAAAGCAGAGCGTCCGTTAGTTTCCACACACTCTGAGCTCGCTTAACTTTTCTGTGTTCATCTTTGTCGGTCGAGAGGTAAACATGGGTGTAACAAGAAGTGTCGCAAAGCATCGTTTTTCGGAATCCATCCTTGAAAACGTGATATTCTGTAAGTAGTTTCCATGTTATCAAATTCATATCATCTCACCCTATTTGTGTTACCAAAAGTTTGTTCCAAGACTTTTTATTTCTTCTAGTTCCTTTTTTCTTGTAATCATACAAGTGTTATTTCATCGTATTTCGTATAGCAATTTACTTTTTTCTAGAATCCTTCCAATGATACATAACATACATGAGGACATATTAAAATTTTTCTGAACCTTATGTCGCCCTGAATCAAATCGCAGTCGATATGTTTCTTATGACAATAAAATCTCGCTTCGTTTAAATTTCCATACGCCTCAAATTTTGGTGGTGATCGAAGAAGTGGCGTTATTTGAAGCTAATTATACTAAAACTAGAAATCTGTAATCACTTTTTCCGTTTCATAATTTCCTTAATTATGGCGCACATCTGCGCATACATTAGCAACAATGGACGATTTAAGTAAAAAACAGTTTTTTCCAGTTTCTGACCAGAGGGAAAGAAGTAATTTCCTTTAGTTCAAGTGCTTGTATACATTCAAGCTGCAAACGTATTTTGCATGAAGATAGATTTTGTTCTAAGTCCCATCTAGCTGACTGAGGTTTGACGCAAAAACTCAGCTAAATGAATTTGTCGAACACTTGATTGGAAAACGAACCATTTATTTTAATTATCTCAAGACTGCAGTGCAATAGCATGGGAGGTGACAAAAAGTACAGTTCGAACAATAAGTCAGAGAAAGACAAAAACAGTCTGGTTACACGTATTGTCAGTTGGCCAGACTCCTACTGACAGAGGAAAGACCTCCCAGGAGGCGTTTCCAATTGGCGTATTTTTGTTACCAGTGATTTTTTTTAATTCAAGCATAGACTAAACAGGTCTTAAGAGAAAAGGCACTAATTCAAACGGGGTTGTAAATCAAAGCTAAAAAGTCAATTTCCCTAACAAAACTTCGCACCTTTTATTTCATTATCCTTCCATTTCTTTCTTTTAAGCCAGATGCTGTATAAGATAAGGAAATAAATTTTCAAATCTTAAAGATCAATGAACAAAAAACACTATAGACATAGGTAGTTAGTTTATATGGATGGGGTACAAAATGTATATGGATAAGCCCCACTTACACCATTTCGGAAATTTTCATTATCTTACTTCCAACTTGAACCATGCTCTTCCGTGAGTTTTAAATTTTGGTCGCCATCTTCCAAGTAGGTTTTTCATGCGAATTGAGGTTGCAATTTTTTATTGGTTAATACTATTGTGCAATCTTAGGTTGAAGTAGGTTGAATTGCAAATTGTTCCTAAGCGATTACAAAAAAAGCTCTCGAACAATGGAGAGAGAATAACCGTCTTATTTACTGTTTTCTCAGCCAATTCGAGGCAAGATTTTGTCTTCACCCTGACAACATTCAAGTGGGCGAGAATATCTCCATTTTTCTCTCCATTTTTCTTTCTTTTTTTTCAATTTTGCCTTAACCATTTCTTCGCCATCAATTGCACTCTTAAGCATTTAGACCCTTCATCACCTGCTGTCTTTTCAGCTCTGACAAACAGAAGGAAAATAGACTAAACATCTTTTCTGTAAAATCACGGAAGCAGAGAAGTCGATGTACAAATTTGATGTGGAGAGGTTTACATTCGTCAAAAAAACCCTTCTTAGTCGACCAGCTTATTTTATGGCTGAAAAAATCCTGAGTTTAATCATTCCTAACTAAACCATGGTCTTTTAACATTGATGACAGATGTTTCAAGCAGGCTTAGTGCTAATGACGGTTTGCGTTTGTGTTTGTCCTCATAAAACCGAGATAAAACAGGATTAAGTGATTCAAAAATGGATCAAGTGAAAGATCTACTCGAATTAGTCTGTGATTCGTCCATGGAAAAGTTATCTATGGAGTTGGCACGCGCTTCAAGCTGAATCTGAAATTTTTATTTCCGCGATTTTCCCTCCGCCTTTGAAGTGTTCGAAGTTAGACGCAAAGGAAAAGCATATTAACCTAACTGAAAGCAGACAAATTGTCTTTGGATCCCAAAGGTACACGGTTAAATACCCTTAGTTCTCCTTTTTTGAGAATTTGAGAATTTATTTGATTTCCTAATATTTCTTGAAATGTCCCTTGTACTGCGAGGACTCAATCACGTCTCCTCTTCAAATCGTTTTGTTAAGAAAAAAAACCTTGACAGTTTTTATGACCTCCGGCCAATTCTTCACTCACGCATGCCATGAATTCTACTTTTCTTCGACACGACATTAAAGTTCCTTCCTGGTTGGCTAATGTCTTACGTACAATTTCTATACATTTACATATTCGATAGTTAAGATCCCACAAGATAAACAGTTGTTTCCGCTGAATAAATTATCCTAAACGAGCGTGTTTTGCAAGTGCAAACAGAAGGTAAAGCTGGCATGTCAATTTCTAAAAGTACATTTGTATAGGCAAATGAAATATTGCTTAAAAGTAACGACAGTAAGTGATAACCTGTCACTTGTTCATGCAGAGCTTTTCGATCTTTAATTTAATTTTCCTCGTAGTTATGACCTTTCGATTTTATTTCTCTAGCTCAGATGTTTTTGCGCGAACCCTCATCAAAGGTTTGAGGTTTATAAGGAGAAGCAATCAAAGTGTGGTGTACCCAGAAAATTTGATAAAAAAAATCAGACCCTGTTCCACTGATTTTTATCCGCGTCCAATTTATACAACTAGGTTACCAATTTGTCCTTTAAAAATCAGAAATTTCAAATCACAAGATTGAACGAAGAGAATCGATAAGGCTTTCCTATTATGCACCACAGTTATGATAGATATCATCAAATACTAATGTGGTGTAGACAGAGCTTAATGCATGTTTACAAAACGAAATCTTTGCTTCAAAGGAGACTCAGATATTTTTAATCATAAATGAACCAAGGAGTAGGTTTTTTTATGGTTTTTCTTTTGTGTGTGTAGGTGTACGTGTGTTAATGGTACATTAGTGCCTGAATCAAGCGCCAGCACTGATCATGGATCTTTTGTTTCCCTAAATCTCAAATAAATTTCCTCTGTGTTTTACCACACAGAGTGATAGAGAAAGCTTTGAAACTTACCAGCTGACGTAAATTGTCGCATTGTAAGCCCTAATTGAATCACTGATAGAATGGAAACCACAAAAATGCACCTCCAACTAGACAAAACTTGACTATTAGTTTTTAATTAAATTGGCCATACATGTATGCATCTGGTGTCAAAATTTAACGGGCGTTAGCCAAAGAGAGTGTTCTGGGCTGCATCCTAAGAACTCGTTTGTCGAAAACTGATGTTTTTATGCTTAGCATTCGCCAAACGCTACCGAACAAAGCTTGCATGCAATCACTTCTTTCCAAGTTTTCTAGTCCACAGAACATAGATAACAAAAAAAAGGTTTGAAGTCTTCATAAAATCATGGAATAATTACGACAGTGCTGAGAAAATATAGAATCCGACAAGGGTTGTTCAACGATTCTCGATACTTTGATTGCGGTCTGTGATAAAGATCGCCGAGCTTTTAGACCTTTCAAGGTCAACAAATGTCATCTCTGAAAAGCCCTGTGTATCATACGTCAATATTTACTTCCACCTCATTCGCAAAAGAGAGAAAAGCTTTTTCTTTTGTAAGAAATGTTCGGTGAATAAATAATGAAAAATGTTGAAATATTAAATTCGAGAGAGCAACATCATGGGAACCTAAAGCAAGTTAGATTGATTAGATTACCATTGTTAGCCCTCTTACACTACTAAATGACTGCTCATTTCTCTATCTCATCAGAACACTGTTGAAGACTGAATAGCAAGGATATTTGTCAATGGAAACACAAGGCGGTGTAGCAACGCAAAACAGTTCAAACTGTTCCACCGGTGCTCCGTGTACCGGACATGAATTCGAAGAGGACATATCGACTGGTTTCAACGCCCAGAGCGACTCCTTCCCCATCGCCATTGCCATTCCAATCATTGCAGTGAACTGCTGGGTGATCTCTTTGGTATGTCTGAAGAGAAGTTTGCGAACGGTGACCAACTACATCCTGACAAGTCTGGCCTTGTCCGACCTATGCACGGGGGCCATTTCCATCCCTTTATTCCTTAGTTGCAACATTATCCAAGAGACTAAAATTTGCGTAGCAGCCGATATGTTCATGAGATTCACTTCAACCTCCACGGTCCTCCACATTCTAGCCATGACAACGGATAGGTACATCTGTATAGTTTATGCCTTGCGCTATATGAGTTGGGTGACCAAGAAACGCGTCCTTTATTTCATTGCAGTCATCTGGGCCATTTCCCTGTTCGTAATGCTCGTCCAACTCGAGTGGTACGATATGAACGAAGGCGTTATGGAAGAATTCTCTCCAGAAAACAAGAAAAAGATCATCATCGTCGACAGCATTTGTTTCTTCGCCTTCGTTGGTCTTCCAGTGGTTGTTATGGCGTACACGTATGGCCGCATCTTGTATGAAGTTCACAGACAGAGCAGGAACATCCAGAGGCACAACACACCTGGATGGCAGGAGACTAAACGAAGTACAAGGCAAGAATGGAAGGTGGCCTCCGTCTTCATGGTAATGCTTCTCGTATTTGTTGTCTGCTGGGGGCCGTTTTTTCTCCTCCGACTCGAGCTTGTATTAGGCAGCAATTTCTTTGAGGTCACTTTCAGCCCTTTTGCCCAGATTCTAATGCTTTGGCTAAGGTTCGTCTCATCTTTGATCAATCCGTGTTTGTACATTCTTGGAAAGCCTGATTTTCGTAAGGCTTCGGGTCTTTCGAGGAAAAAGAGGAATCGTTTTAACGATTCAGAAACAACCCGTTTAACTCAATCAAAGGGTTCAACGTTTGTTTAATTTGAGACACAGCGGCGGATTATGACTTGCAACAGGATGATTTCCTGAAAGGGACAAAGTTCCAACCACAGCCTTCACTCGATAAAGGAGCTTTTTGAACAATGTGTATAAAGAAAGATTATCCGGGAAACAAACACATCAAATTTTTCAAATCTGTAAATATTCCTTCACAGACCTATATTCATACCGACTAGCCTGGTTCTAAAACAGCAAATGAAGATAGAAAAAAAATGAACTGTTTAAAACAGGTGCAAATGAGCACCGAAAACGTTTGTCTGCAAAATCATCATCAATAACACTAGTTAATACAAAACATTTGATATCCAATAAATCTTGATCTCTCTACTAAACCTGGCCAGAGAGCAAAATCAGAAAATCCGAACAAATTGACATAAACATAAGGTGTATATCAAAGCTTAATAAAACGTCCTATTGGAATAGCAATTATTTGTTTTGTCAGTGGTTGTCAACCGGACTTTTTTTTCTTAATCACAAAAGATTGGGCAACGATTGCTTGACCCATGATGATCCAGGGGACAAGCGAACAGGCTTTTGGGTTATGAATCCCTATCAAAGAATATATACAAAGTCTAGAAACAAATCAAACTTGCTGCCGGCTTCAAATTATGCAAATTATCACTTGTATCGCGAGATAATATGCAAGCCAGAATCGCTGTGTAGAGTAGAAGTTTATGATGCCTAGAGAATCGTGAGCTGATGCGGCGCGTTTTTCCCTTCTCTTTCTTTTCGAAAGCGATGTGATGGTTTGTTAAGATGCATGTACCTCACAGAATAATAGGTTTGAAGGAAAGCCTCATTCCCTGATAAATTAGCTTAATTTTAATAATGTTTCCCCACTGTGCGCCATGAGATAGACTTGATTTGACTTTGATTGCTTCAAGTCGAAAGCTCACTCAAAGCCGCGTACACTGAATGTCGTTTTCTTTCATGATACCATCATAGCTGCCTCATATCTCATCAAAACATTATTTCACAGCACCTTAAGATTTTTTTTTTAAATTTTGCGGCTAGCCTCATTAATCCATCTGGTTCATTCAAGATAGTTCAAATATTGATTCGTTTGAAATGGTAATACTTACAAGTTCTGTCCGCCCACTAGGAAATTTTCAAGCTTAAGAGCAATTGTTTTTTTTTAAACATCGATTGTTTTCTTTTATATATTTCTAAGCGAGACTCAAGTTTTAAACTAGTAAATCCAAAATAAGGTGGTAAAACGCTGTGGATCTTGCCACTAACCCCATCTATATTCCCAAGACAATTACCATTTCTTCCTTCCAGAAGCAAATGATGAATGAAGTATTTCCCTCGAGAGAGGGTTGGATAGCTGTCGTAGATACTACTCGTTTTTACTATTGCCAATAGATCCTATCGACAGAAATTTCAAACCGGGCCCGAGGATCAATTAATAGACGCACCAACTGCGTCATAGACTATTTGGAAGAAAATGGCATCGGTGGGACGTACGATCACTAGGAACATAGCGTAAGTATTAGTTCAAGATCAAAGGGAACCTACGATACGTAGGAACTAGAGATCAGCGGGAACACGGGACCGGTGGGAACACGGGACCAGTGGGATCACGGGACCAGTGGGAATACGGGACCAGTGGGAACACGGGTTCAGTGGGAACTTGAGGTCAATAGGAACATGGATCAGTGCAGACATGGATCAGTAGGAACAGAGGATCTCCTATACTCTTACCCCGGGATGATAAGATGAGCTTCCGACGTCATAAAAAAACTCTTCCTTATCGTTCATCGTGCCTATTTTTACCCCGAACGAGTCAGTCTCAATTATCCTCTAGGAGAATTGTTTTTTTCCTCAGATATCTTAGATACATATAACACTAAGTAGGTTAACTTACTAGTGTCGAGCAATATGTAACTTACTAGCGCTGAATATGTAGAAGATAGGTTGAAGTCGCTTGAGAATTTAAGCATAGACATCATTTCTCAGTGATCTACGCAAGGTTACAGCTGCACGTAGGCTAAAACACTTATAACTTCTAGAATCACTGCTGATTATTTTTTTAGTTATTGCAACCTAATCACCTTTATCATATCACTCATTGAGCGAAAACTTTTAAAAGTCCCCATACCGTGAACTTCCAAAACGACAGGGATCATTAATCGTGGCAGTCTTTTAAGCCAATTAGAAGTTCCTAAGAAATCTGATTCCCATAAGCACGTCTTTACGTCGGCATAACGTCAGAATTTTACATCCTGTCGCTTAGCAACTGCTAATGTAAACCCCTGGCTCGGAAAACAACCAATAAAATTTGTACGCGTATTTCCAACACAAGAGGTTGTCTTGAAGCTACCACAATATCAGGGTAATGACTGAGTACGACTGGATTCGCGGGCTACCACACCTCTCTCCACAACCTGCCAAGAGAGAGCGATGAGTAAAATAGTAAAAAAAACCGACGATGTCTCTAAGTGCCTGTGAGAGGCTTATGGAGAGACGCACCCCCTGGAAGATCTTGCTTACGCAGATAAACCTAATGCATGAATTTTCTTAAATGAAAGACTTCCAAAAATCATCAGTGTGAGAGATGTTGAAGGTAAAACCTAAGATAACTAAAAGCTTAAAAGATCAGTAGAGTAAGAATTTTCGATGAATGTACGCCTCGCTTAGCGAGGATAAATTCTCGTTATTTGCAACGTTGACACCTTTTAGGTTTAGGACTGAAATCTTCCCACCGCATTAAAAAGTTCCTGTGTGAATGCCATGAGCTCGGCTGTAGCCTGGAGGCCGGGTGGTATGGGTGGAGGGACGAACTGCTGAGGGGTCGCACTGACTCTCGGGACAGGGCGCACGCGCGGTAACGGACCATGTGAAGATGATGTTAATGGCGGAGGGCCCACAGTTGGTGGAGGGGCTCGGGGCGGGGCATGTCTTGGGTCTGAACCCAAGCCAGATTTTTTTAATGATTCGTCGTCGTTTGCTGTTCGTTCGTCTTCCGAAGTTGGCTCGTCTCCGGTCTCGGATCCCAATTCGTCGAAAACGTCGTCGTCGGCATCAACCGAGTGATCCTCCGGTGAAGAGGGCGCAGTTTCCTCATGAGATGAAGACTGTGCAACGTTACCACGTGACGTGGGCGTTGCGTGATCGCCGCGCCTCGAGGTAGGAGCTCTGCCAGAATTCAAGGGAACCATTGTAGGAGACTGATATTCTAATGCGTTGCATACACCATCCGCAGAATAAACGTCCCGGTGTGCTGACTTCAAGTGCTTCTTTAGCTTGTGAGGCCCAAGGAAACCTTTGTCGCACAGCTGACAAATGTGGCTATAATTGCCTGTGTGGATCCGCATATGGTCGTTCAAGTTATCTCGGCGCGCATAACCCTTATTGCACTGTTCACACTTAAAAGGTTTATCCTTAGAGTGTGTGAACAAGTGTCGCTTGAGCTTATCTTCACGGTAAAAGGTCTTCATACAACCAGTGTGACTGCGAAAGGGACAGGTGAAAGTTGGTCTTGTATCTGGGTAGTGAATTAAAGAATGCCTCTTCATTTTATCTTTACGGGCAAACGCTTTTCCACATTCAGGGCACTTGTGTTTCTTCTCCGTAGCATGCACCGTTCTTTTGTGCGAGCGAAGGTTCGCCGAAGAACAGAACGCCTTTGCGCATTCGTCACAGGCGAACGGCCTTTCAGTAGAGTGGGTCGTCTTGTGTTTCTTGAGCTGAATGGTGCTAGTGAAGACCTTCCCGCATTCATCACATGGATGCACATGACTCTCATTTAACCGATGCTGCTCGAAGCCGTTAGCAGTGAAGAAGCTTTTATTACAAAGCGAACACTTGAATTCCTTCTTATGCATTTTACAGTGCTCTTCCTTCTCCTTCAAAGCATTGAAAACCGCTGGACAGCGCTGACATCTGTAAATCTTGGAGGGGGGATTGAGGTATATTGGCACAAACACACTGGTCGCACCCTGTTTGCGCACCCCTGTACGCTGGGGACTGGTTGCAGATGTGGACGTGGAACAAGGATTCAGATGAACTAGTTGTGACTCTGGGATATGGACAGTCACTGGTTCATCTGAAGTCGAGGGTTTCTTGGTTCGAGGTTCCTTGCTCTTCTCTTGAGTGGACGAGGCTGTGGAAGTGGACGAGCATTTTCGTTTTCTGGTGGTCTTGGGGTGAGAGTTCTTCCTCTTGTGCCTTTTTGTCGGTTTTTCTACAACAAAAACACATCTGTGTGAGGAACCGTCATTATTTACCGCCAGGGAGGGGAGGGAGGTTAAGGGATTTTGGTTGTGTCACAATAAAATTTACGTGATCCCCCTTTAGGCTCTGTAGTACTCTAATGTTCCTCTCTCAATGACAGTCATTAGTCCCCCCCCTCCCTTATACTCTGTTAGCGATGACTGATCCCCCCTGAAAACCATGTGACCCCCCCAAAAATTCTCTAACTCCTTACCCCTGTAATAAAAAATAAGCGATCCCTAAAACATTACTGTCAAAGGAGAGGGTAACTTGGGACAGTAGAGCCAATGTAGACAATAGGTCACTTCCGAGTTCTTGTGGTTTAGTGATTTGGTACCAAAATTATCAACTGAGTTGATAACATAAATTGGCCACCACAATCAGTTTAAAAGCTTTAAACTCTTTACAGTAGCCAATTTTCATTATCAACTCAGTTGATAATACTAAATTACCCTTGGGGATTATTAGTTGATCGAATACAAATTCTTAGAAAAAATTATAAGAAATGTGTGGCAGACAGTAAGGAGAATTTTCATGGAGATATTGGCCGTGAAGGAGTCATACAAACTTGCAATACGCACAAGACCTGCTAGATGCTTGTCTAGCAGCACCTATAAGCTGCTCACATGCTAAACACTTTTCTGCATAGCACATGGCAGATGCAAAAAGGAAAGATGATGGGATGCAAGCAAAAGAGTGGTGGTCATGTCATTAACTGCTTAGCATCACTTTGCACCCTAACATCAAGATGCATATTCCCCATACTGTTGTCTACACATTTCCTAAGTTGGTGACAAAGAGAATTTGTTAAACAATCAAGGGGTTTTCAGGGGTGTGTTTGGTATCACTGGGCTCTCACTGACTTTTTGTGATAACCCTGCTGTAATGGACTGTTTTTGTATCATTTGGTTTTATGACACTGTCAAAAAAGTTCTCCATCACAAACTTGGAATGAAGTATAACTTTTAGAAGAAACCCAACCCATATAAAGAAGTTGTCAGTTGCTCCTTTCAAAATACAAAACAATGTTTTCACTTTGTCTCACCAGTTTTTTCATGATCTGAAGTTTTGTGACCATCAGGTTTTTCTCCTGCAGATGATGATGCACCATCACTAGTCGCCACTGGGTCTAGAAACTGCACCTCCACTTTTTTTGCAGCACAATCATCCTCAGTGCCCTCTACACACTCTTGAGCCTGCTGGGTGGTATCTGCTAATGTTACCTCTTCTCTGCTGTTGGTCTCCCCAGAGTGAGAATGGCTGCCTGCATCTATGGGAAGTTTGTTAACTACTTCTGTCAATGAGCTCTTGTTGACAATGTCACGACAAACTTTGTTTGCTTTGTGCTTGATGTACTCTGACAGATCATTAAAAGACAATTTACATCTTCCGCAAAAATGGACATCTTGATCATCATCTGCAAAAAGCAAAATGACCTCCATTGGTATATGTTTAGCCTACTAAATAAATAGACAGGATTAGTTATCTTAAAGGCAGAAAAGAGAAAAACCTGAAAAAAATTGAACATTAACAGGATTTGAACCCATGCTTTCAAGAAATTATTTTGGCACATATTACTAAATAGGCAAAGAAGCCATACACTGGGAGTAAGGACAATTTTGGAGGGTTCTTCTTTCTACAGAGGAATCATATCATAACTTCTAACCCTTTACATCCTAACATCAGTATGCAAACTCTCCATACTATGCTCTATACATTTCCTAAGGTGCTGACAAGGAGAATTTGATTTAACAATTAAGATCTTCTTTAGTTGGTAATCATTTCCTTTATTCTTGTAAACTAAATGTGTGATTCGGGGATGATATTGTAAGGAGAAATTAGGTGCTAATCACTCTTAGGGGTTAAAGGGTTAAGGAAATAAACTGAAAAAAAATATTCAAAACATCTTCAAAGGGCAACATCCAGACACTACATACACTAATATCAATCAAGTACACTCTCTTCTAAGGTCTCATTTTGTGGTTTTGGTGCCCCCGAAATTCCTCCCCCTCAGATTTACCCTGGCTGAGCTAACTTTTCACTTACTTCTTTTAAAAATTCAACCAACCGTTTATATGAAAATGGTGAACTCCTCTCAGGGGTGAGGCAGGTAGGGTAACCCTGTCAGATGGGACAACTTTTACTCATACAAACATCTAGGTTTCCCTGCCTGAGACAAGACTACTCAAATTGTTTCCAGAACCCGTGTGATTTAGGTCAGTTAAGACCATTTTGTCCAAATGTGACATGCTTAGCTGTCACAAGAGAGAGTAGGGAGGGGACAGCTGTTACAATGCTGTATACAGATAGACATTCCAAAAAGTTGTCTCAAGGGGGAGGGGGGGTGTTGTCTTGGTTACCTGAGAGCATATACACCTGTTAATACAAAGTAGATTTGCATACCTGAGGGAATGCTAACTTCCAAAACAGTTGTAGTTCTAGAGGTAGGCTCATCACTCTGAAAACAAGTTGGAAAAAATGATTAATCTTTGAAGTGTACATCCCTGCCCAATATTGTTGATCAAATCTAACAAATCAAACTTGGAATACAGTACACTAGAAGAGGAAAAATTACATTTTCAAGGGTTTAAATATTATTCGTAACTCTACAGCACTCAGAAATGATGAGCAAGTACTTCTCCCCACAATTTCAATACATTATGCAGTAATCAGGTGACGAGAATTGAGCTCGTCATTTAGAGGCTGATCAGCTGTGTTATTTTTATTTCCACATGACACCGTATTTTCTTGATCAAAATTTATTGGTATGTCTAAACATTAAAGGGAAGAATTGCATTTGCTTATCAGATCGCAAGAGTTACACGGTCAATTTAGTTCATATATGGTCTCCAGCCTCATGATACATGGTAATAATTTTTCACCAGGGATTTTAAGTTTCCTTTCGATAGTAAGATTTTCGTTCTAGTGACAGCAACAAAGGTAATATTTAATCCCGGAGAAGCGAGCAATAGCATAAAAAACCCCTCGTTTTCACTTTCCGGAAGAGAGCCCAAATGTTCGAGTGGTTGCATCGATTATCGTGACACACGATCTAAGATGTTCTTCGTCAATTCGAGAATTTCATTCCAAACGAAAATCGCACCAAAACACTTGACTACCATGTATTATTTCGTGTTTGCTATTGCGCTTACAAGGAGAACCGAGAAGAACAGCAGGCTCTAGCGTGTACATTTATCTACTAAGGACGTGTTAAATAAGGTAATAATTAATTCAAAAATCAACCAAACATTACCTCAGTTGCTACGCTATCCGCCATATTGCGGAAAGGTTTCCCTCCGGATCGAAGAGAGTTTTCTGCAATTTCTCTTCACCTTGACTGGAATAAAAAGGTGAAATGACTTGGAAATGATCATATGCAGAATTTGGTAATCATGCTTTAGATATGGCGAGCATTTAAAGCGAATCAAAGCAGGAAAAAGCGAAATTTTTCATCGACCATAGGAGGCGAAGGAAAGATTTCTCTACCACTCCCATCTCGCTTTGTGGCCCCTTCATCAATAAGGCGAGGTTACCCAATCTAGAACATGTGATCGAGGATCAAATTTAACGCGGGCTTGCGCGCTTTAAATTTTGTTGATAACAGAGCACGCTTCAGGATTTCGCACCTTCGGCCTAAAGAGGTTAGATGGTGGATTTTTTCTTTGTTCTGTGTACTTTTCAGGAATATTTTTTATTCGTTAGTTGAGCTTAACTGAGCTCAACGTATAGTGGTTTTGGGTGGGCGACAATACGAAGAGATAGACAACACTTTCTGACAAAGGAGAGATGAACATATTCCAACGTATTTAGTGATGTTTAGAAGCACGGTGAAAGAAACAAAGCATAGAATATCGGGTATTTTTCCAATAAAAAGGCAAATTTATTTTTACATTTCCCACTAATGATCCATTCTTTTTTAATTTTCTCGATATGTAATACTCTCTCGATGTGTAGTATTTCAATTGTGGTTATTTATTCTACACAATGTTAGTTGCGCTCACAAGTTGATTTTTATTTCATATTTTTATTCTTGATTTATGATTTGATCTTTAGGAGTCTTGGTCAAATGGCACTGGGTTGCAGATCAAAATGGCCGGGGTCTCATTGTTGTCATTAATGATTTGCATGAAATAAAGTATAGTGTGTGTGTCATTGTTCTTATACACTCAAGGTGCATTTTGATTCTCTTCCCCTCCCCAGAAGTATGAATGGGTATGAGGAAACTTATCAAAATTTGACAAAATCTAGGGGGGGGGAGGTCAAATGCAATTGCAATACACTAGCACAGTAGCACCAACCCAGAGAGAGTAGCACCAACCCAGAGAGAGTAGCAATAGTCACCTCATGTCACAAAAACTGGGATAAGCTCAGCTGGTTGGCAAGTCTCTTAAACAGACATGGTATTATGATCGATTGAATTATACCTATTTTTCCACATTTCTTAGGAATGATCAGCAAGATGTAGGAACAACTGATTGTCTCTCTAACAAGTTTAGAGAATTTGACTCTTTACAACTGGTAAAATGCCCCTTAAAAAGAAACCTCTGGAAGATGCCAGAAAAAGATTGCAAGAAAAGCTGAACAATGTTGAAGAACAGTCTGAGTATATCTGTCAGTTTATCAGTGATCTTGTTTGCAAGGTAAAATACACATTTTCATTATATTCTTTGGCATGTTCTGAAACAAAAAAAGAGGAATCAACTTAGTTTGATGATTTGGAACCAAAAGATAGTTTGAGCCACAAGTAGTAAAGTTCTTTTCATAGAGACTCCTTAAAAGGAGAGTGAGAAAGGGTTTATACATGTATGTGACACATGATTAAGGCCAGAAAAACTTACAGAAAAACAAGCATGATTCATGAATTTTTGAACTGGTGTGAGGCTTGAGTTACCTCTTGAAATTATCCTGACCTGTTATTTTTTTTCTCTCATTTCATGAAAATCTCAAGATTTCCCTGAAAGCTCAAACACAAGAAGAGAGACTCAGGCCAAGGGTTAAAAGGTTCCCTTTTAAATTTGTGACACATAAAATGGTGTTTAAAGTATTCATTACACATGAGTTTCTCCAAAATTTATGAACAAAACAGGATCAGGACACCCCCCCTCCCCTTTTACAACCCTGAAAATGGTATCAGCCTCTTTCAGAACCAAATCAGAGTGTATTACTTATTATGAGAGGTATTTTTATTGATGATATGCATGCTATTTAGTGAAATTAAATCCTTACTATTTCCAAAATTGTGCACTTAGTTTAAAACCTGGAAATATCATTTTACTCTTGCCTTCATGCCCAGGCCTCAGATCCAGCTAAAGAACTCCTTGAAGAGAAAGACCGCAAGAAGTTTTTTCAGAAGTATTCATCTGTGAGTCAGGAACTTGAGAAATGTCTGGATTGTTTGTTGTTAATAAGTGATTCAGTCACTGCTCTGGGAGAGGAAGACACTCTGGGTAATTTATTATTATTGTTTTAACCCTTTAACTCTCAAGATCTGATTGTTAACTCTCCCCTCTAGCTGCTACACATTTCCTTGTAAATAAGTTTTGAGAATTTGGTGTCAGATCAAGATAAAAACTTTGACCTGATGAGTTTGAATATTCTCATGACCCTTTTGCTGGATGATGCTATTATAGGGAGAAGTTCCTTGTTCATCACTTCTGGGAGTTAAAGGGTTAAAGAAAACTATGCCTTTGTTTGATGTTCTAGTTTACTTCAATCTTTGATTAACACATTCTGAATGAAAAGTGAGTGCTTTGAAATGTAAAACTAAATATAGCTGAAAATGTTGTTGTTGTTGTTTTTTTTACTTTGATATCAGGTGCCAGTGAAGATTACACTAGTTCTGCTTCTGAACCAAGTGACCATGTTGAGCAGGGTGCTGTCTCATCAAGGAACAGAGACTGCCTTGGGAAAGATGTTAAGTTGACTAATGATAAACAAGTTGAAGGTGAGATAGCAGATTGGGTGGTAGATGTTGGAGAAGGGTGGGGACTGGGAAGAGGAACAGAGCTGAGGATTATAAGGAAGCCTGGGGATTATACACACATTGGCTGTTATAAATGGGAGTAAGATTCACTCAGATTTCCAAAGAATTTACTGGAAATACTGGTAAATGAATAGAGGAATGACTAATAAAACAATCAAGGTTAACTTTCTTCTCTTTTAGTGTACTTTTACTGTTTGCCGCGTTCTCCCCTATTTTAAGCATGACAGGTAAAATAAATTTTCAAACCAGGAAAGCAATCCTTTCACCTGTTGAATTTTCAAGAAATCCAAGCAATTTTAAACGGTAATAAGAGGTAATACAGGCGGTAAATGTTACAGGTTACTGCCTGAAAAGGAGAACACTGTGTTTGCCTTTTCCTTTATGGTCAGTTCCAGCCAAAAATGAATAATAAAGACAGTTGAAAAAAAAGACTTGGGAAAAATAAAGCAGAGAGTCTTTTCAAATCCAGATGCCATTAGTTGCTAAATAAATAGCTTCCCTTTTTACTTGTTTTTCCTTCTGAAGATAAAACTCACCCTTGTGAAAGGAAAGGAAGCAATGGCAAATCACAGATGGTGTCAAAATTTGGTGAGTGAGTGTGTCACCAATATTCTTACCACACTGAAAGGTCTTCTGTGGTTCTTTTACTGTACAGACCCACAGCAATGAAGAATCTATATGTTTTACATCGTAAAAAGCAAAATTTTGGTATTGCGGTGACATTAAAACTGGAGTAAATTAAATTTCAGAGCATGAATCTGGGATTAACAGTCAAGGTGTAAGTAGTAAACACACAGAACCTGTCAAGACACAGTCTCCATCTGTACCCCAGAGTGCTTCCACCACTTCGTCAACTGGTTATGAAACACCACAAGCATCTATACTACAACAGACCACCCAACCCAAGGCAGTCCCTGAACCACGAAGAAGTGTACCTGTACAACAACAGGACACCAAGGAATTCATCTCTGACCATCTCAACAAACAGTCACACAAGCTCTCCTCTGTTGACCAAGGTACAAGGAGAAATGCTGAAGGTCTTGATGTGAACTCAACATCAATCAAACCTGAACCTGGAAAACAATTTGTTGAAAGAAAACAGGCTGGTAATGTTTCGGTGTCTGGGGCATCCAAGGATAGCCAAAGGAGAGGCTCTAATTCTTCATCTGTAAGTTCCTTGTCTGATATCATCCAAGATATCAGGATTTCTCCACATGAAGCTAAATTAGCCACTGAGAATGTACCCACTAAAGGTAAATAGGTTTCTGTTTTAAATTGCACATGTAGTTTTTCTTGTCATTTAATCTCTCTCAGATTTAGTAGACATACTAGCACATGTTGCTAGTTAACCCTTTAACTACCAGATCAAAGTTGTAAGTCTCCTTACTGTCAACCATACAATTCTTATAATATTAGTTCAGAGAATTTAGTATTGAATCAACTAATTATCCCCAAATTGATATTTTTCTTTATTCTCATCACTTATCTGGTTGATATTGTATTGATATTGTGAGGAGAAATTCTGTCTTGGTCACTCATGGGAGTTACAGGGTTAAATGGATACAGATTTTAAAACTTCAAGCTTTGAATCTCAGAAAAATATAGCTAAACGGTTTGAGGTAACCTGTCCAGAAAAAACCTCCAGTCCTACAGCCTTACCAATAGTGAGCTGAATTAAGTTTAAACTTATTAGCCTCAGTCTGATGGACCGATTTTCCCAAGTGCAAACCATACCTTAAGTCTTTAGTCTGAATACAGTACATTTATTATTGCCACTTCAATTAGTTGGTTTCTAAATGAGAGACATGTTAAACATGACATGAATTTCCTTCAATACCTGCTGTCATGCTTGAATTCCCCTTCTTGGTATGTAAAAGCAATACCAGGAAAAAAGAAAAAAAGGGGAGTTTCCTTGTCTATATATTTCTCAGCCCCTCCTCCCTTCTTCCCAATCCTCCTGCCCTCACCCCCCCCCCCTCATCATCATGGCTGGATATACACTCTATATACCTTTCTTCTTGGAGTTTTTTTTTTTTTTTTTTCTTTTTCACTAATCAAACCATGAAGAGTTTACTTAATTATATGATAAGAGTGTTGTTGTCCTTCTTTCTTATTTTTTGTGACAGTTCAACTGCCACTGTATCCTTTCAAGAATGGCCAGAGACTAGAAGTTGTTGTCACTGAGGTATTGAGTCCATGGGAGTTTTGGGTTCAACCTGTTGGCACAGAGCTGGATTTACTCATGGAGGAAATGTGGTGAGGGACAAATGAACTTGGTGACTTGAAAATATTGTCAATAATTATTTACTCTGCAAATCTTTCAGAGGATTTTTAAAGCTTTTGAAACTGGTTTTCGAAATTAATGATGACGAAAATAACAATAAATGAGGTAAAGGTATCCTGCCATTTCCCAGAAGTGATCAACTTGTAACTTCTCCCAATGATATTCATACATTATCCAGCTGACAGGTACTGAGAATACTCTTACTTATCAGGTAAAAGTTGTTGTCTTGATCTAAAAACAAATTCTCTGAGCTGATTTATAAGGAAATGTGTAGCAACTATAGGGCAGAATTAATGATCAGATCTAGGGAGTTAACAAATTTATTTCCCATCATTTTACATTACCTAGACAAATTCTTGCATCATTACCAGAGTTTGATCAAACTGAATTACTAATTCCTGCCTGTTCCCTTCCATTTTTTTAATTCATTTTATTTTTTGTCACCCTCCCAGCATGCACTATGCAAAAATGGCAGCAGCCGGTTACAAAGGAGGACTTATAACCGCGCCTGACGTCGGTGACTTCTGCTGTGCAAAGTTTACACAAGATGACACGTGGTACAGAGTGTTAGTGACAGGTGTTAAACAATCGGCCACAGGTAATGATGTCACGCTTCAGCAGGGCCCTCTGAAAAATAAAAATTTAGCCCGCGAGAGGAGCCTCCATTTTTGCGCGAGTGTTTCTCCGCGCGCGGAAAAGTATGAGGCGTTGAGTAACGTGAGCCCGCAAGGGGTTTATATTGACAATATTTGCAATAGGAATTATCAGTGCCAGACCTCCGGAAAACTTCTCCAGACTCGTCTCAAATCTTCCTGCGCGGAGAAACGCGCATCCTGCGGCATCAATTAATGAAGTCCTGCTCGCACGCTACTAAAATATTAGCTTGTGCCATGGATTTCAATCGTGTTTTTAGGCGAGCAAAGGAAAGCGCAAGGCGAGCGTGAGTGGAGCGCGAGAACGAGTTACGTGCGAGGTGAGGGGTGCAACAAAGATGATGCGTCATCTTGATGCACTTCTCCCCTTGCACGTGACTCTCCCTTGTTTCTCCCCCAGGTAATAACCTTCTAAATTCTTACTACCTACCTGCTTGAAAGTATTTGAAAATTGTAAGGAGAATTTACACTCTCATCACACCTGGAGAAAAAAGGTTAAAGATGGACGTAGGTTTAAATTCAGCGCTTGGAGTGAATAACGTAGCTCGCTGGCATCAAAGTGAACTGTTTTCTACCGTTTTTGAGTCTTCACTAAGGTTCGAATAACACAACGTTTAAACCAGACTCAGCATATGCACCCTTTATCCCGTTAGAGTGACCAACATCTAATTTCTCCTTACTTTTACTTCTACTTACTTACCCATCGAATCACACAAACAGAATAAAGGTAATGATCACATACTTAAAAATGTCTTGGTTGTTATACACATTCTCCTTGTCAGTACCCCTAGGAAATGTATCGAGAGCAGTTGGGAGAATGTGCCTACTGATGTTAGGGTGTAGAAGGGTAAAAAAAAACTGCCTCGAATTTTAGGACCGTCTGTTGGAGTCCTTTGCGTTGATGACGGCAACCGTGAGGAACTCGGTCTTTCCCGTCTCCGTCCATTGGAAGAAAAATTCCTTAAACTGCCTTGTCAAGCTCTGTGTTGTGCACTGTCGGGTGTGAGGCCAGTTAGTCTACAGCAACAAAAGACAGGTATTTTCACTAAGCGATTAACTTCAATTATTCGTGGCGTAAAAATCAATTTTCTTTCTTTTTTTTTTTTTTCCAGTCAGGCTGGAATGAGTAGATACATCAGATGTAAACCCACTGACCCGTTTGTCAGTATCAGATCGAGCGCAGTGTTTTATTGACTCGTGTTTTCAAGTTTTTTTTCCATGTTTTTTTTTTTTTAATTTTTTTTGTAATTCACTTATAGGAGCTGAGACCTCTTTATGGAGTGCGGACTCCATTGCGTGGTTAACACACAAAGTGTCCGGCACGAAGCTTCTAGCATATCCTTCAAGAGTCGAATCCAGCAAGTTTGTCATTATCGATCTCTACGTGTTCCCTCCCAAGAACCCTAAGCTAAAAACCCCAGTATCATCTGTCACAGGTAAAGGTCTCCCGGGGCTACAGTACAGTATTGCAGAGATGATGATAATCTCCGGTATGGCGCAGCGAATCATGCTCCAAGTTAGAGATGGTAGCTTGTGCAGTGGCGGGTCGAGTCCCTTGTCTGGGGGAAGCAACGGGTGTTTAACTCGGAGCTGCAGTAGTGTTAGTATCGGGAGCAGCGTGCAGGAAGGAGATGGGCTCGTTGAGAAGTGTGTAGACAATGTAAATTGTAAAGAAGAAAATACGTTTACGGACAATTCGTGCTCATCGAAAGAAACTGTTATTCACACGCCGGCTCTAACGAACGAAGAGCGTGCAAAGGTGAATGAAGAGTCTTCCACGGATGAAACAGAGAATACAGATGTCACTTTTGGACAGAAGGTGACGGATAAACAAATCGACGGCGCACTTGTATTAAGCTTGAAAGAAAGAAATTTCGAACATTCCCTGGACCAAAAAGACATAAAACCTATCGGTAAGTAAAAAAAGTTACCCAACGTAGATGAACATTAGAGCATCATCATTTAATAGCTGGTTGAAATAACGTTCTATTTATGCGTTCTGATAAGCTAAGAACGCGAGTTATGAGCTTAGGGAAGCAATACCATGTAAAAGTTGTCTTTTCATTTCACTCAAAATCCTTTTATTTCCTCTCCGCTTTCTTTTTTTTCATCATAGACGTATCGATGTTCTCTGAGTCCCTTCCCATGTCAGGCCCTGAAGAGTCCTTCATCACTGAGCTCCGACCCGTAGAGGGCCCTGTGTGTCTACAAATGCTGATGTCTCATGTTGTGAGTCCCAGCGAGTTTTATGTTCATCTTGTAACGCCAGATGCTGGAATTCTTGATGTAATGATGGACGAATTGAACAAGTTCTATGGCAGTACGTAAATTTATTCTTTTTTGTGTCCTGTAATCTTGACTTTTTGTTTTTATCTTTCATCTTCTGAAACCTCTCTAACGATTTTTCCTTTTTAACTATCCATAGCTGACCCTTTTCCCCAAAGTTGTGCGCCGAGTAATAGTTACCAGCCCCAAATAGGAGACTACTGTTGTGTTCGGTTCACACAGGACGGGAGGTGGTACCGTGGACTGGTGACCAGTGTTCGCTGGACTGGGAATGTTCAAGGTCCAATCAGCAGTGCTCACGATGTCCAAGTATTTCATGTAGATTTTGGGAGTTCTGAGTTTGTTTCCGTTACTGATATAAAGCCTCTTGTAGCCAAATTCCTAACGCTACCTGGGCAGGTGGTGAAATGCAAGCTGGCGAACCTTAGACCTTTGATAATTGAAGGTTAGTCAATGTTTGAATTTTTTATAACAGGGCTCCAAGCTCAACTATTTTCAAATATGAAGGGGGCAAGTTTCTAAAGAAACTGGTGTTGCATCGGTAGGGGTATAACAAGGTAATTTGGTTTTATCAACTGAGTTAACAATGTAGATTGGCCACCGTAGGAAATTACTAAAGCGGACTTTTCGAGCGTTAGACCTTCGTCAGAACGAATTAAATAATTTTTTTTCTATTCGTTCATTTTATTTCTTGTTTTCAAAGGCTACGATACCTTTCGATCCAATATTTCAATATGGCTGGTAAAATTTTAGCCACAATTCAGAACATTTTAAACGTACGTTAACTTGTAACGTTTACTCACAGAGGCCCCGATAGCACTAGAAGAAAAACCTGCTATTAAAGAGATAACAGAAAAGGCCAGCCTCCCAGCAGAAGTAACTCCCCCAAAGGAAGAGAAACCAGTAGCGGTGGGTGAACGGCCTTCGAAATCTGATTCTTCTCCCACAGGAAAATCTGGCAGCAAAAGAAACAGAAGGAAACGAAAACGACCGCCCAAAATATCGTTAAAGGATGAAAAAATTGTTATACGCGCGGCTGGTGATGAATCTTATGACAGCAGTGAGATGAGTGAGATTGAATTCATTAAAAAAAGAGACCAGGAGAAAGGGAAAGAGAAAGTGAAAGATGAGGATAAAGATAAGGCTGCGTTTCCGGTGAGTGCAGAAAAAACTAGACCTTGGGGTATGGAATCTCTCCCCTCCCCTCTGTAACAACTTTATCCATTTATCCTTTTTTTACAGGAAAAATACTTGCTTCCCAGTCCAAGTGCTAGTCCAGAAAAACCGTTCCCTCTTCTTAATGAATCTCCTCCCGTTAAAACTGTGGAAAAATGGCCCGAAGGCTCGTCAGAATTGTTAACCGGGCTGACGGATGATAACAGGAAATTAGTGGGTTACATGGTGCCGTGGGATGCATGGGTCTATCAACAGCTGTTCAACCCTGCTATTGGTGGAACAAAGGTTATATCAAGACTTTTTCAATTTCTTTTTACGAAACTTCCGTCAAATCTGCACTCCAAGCTGGGACAGTTTTGGTCGCCATCGCGAGTAGGACAATTTTGGCGACAAAATTTGCCAATTTTTTGGCAATCTTTGTTATTCTAGGTTAAATAGCAACCGCTTTGAGGCCAAAATTTCTAACCTGATTGGTTTTTAGTGATGCTTCTCCACTCGAGCTTAATGTCTGAAGTTTACTGGTGATATGTGGAAGTTGGTTTCCATTTAGTCAGTCGATCTCACCGCTTGACGTAGACTAGCAGTATGTGGTTTAAGCGTCCCGATCTATGTCTTAAGCGATTATATCGGGAGGGACAAGTGATAATGCATTATTACCAGAATGATCGCATCGATGGATAAGCACAAACTTTTTTTGACGATAGTTTTAATTTTTTTCACAGGTCGATATATCTTACAAGAAGCCCACGCTAAGCCTTGACCTGTACGACACTACCGGCGACGAGGATATCTTTATCAACCAAGTACTTGTGGAGACGGGAATAGCAGATTTTGTAGAAAATCCTGCAGAACAAACAGGTGAATCTTTTGTGAGGGAAATTTTTGACGTTCCGCATGTAGCTTATTGTATATGTTGAGCATTTGCTATCCGGTCGTGTAATTCGCTGTGACGAAAGGCTAACGTTTGAAACGTCAGCTTCTGAACTCTTTACGGTGGTCAATTTACGTTATGAGCTCAGTTGATAATACCTAATTGCTCAGTCGTGTAATAACTCGGTTGGTCATTCGAATGTCCGACGGTCAGTCGAACGTTCGGTTCGCTCGTTGGACGGTCGATTGATCGTTCAGTTGGCCTGTCGAACGGTCGGTTGATCGTTCGGTTCGCTCGTCGGACGATCGGTCGGTCGGTCGGTCGGTCGGTCGGTCGGTCGGTCGGTCGGTCGGTCGGTCGGTCGGTCGGTCGGTCGGTCGGTCGGTCGGTCGGTCGGTCGGTCGGTCGTTCGGTTGGCCTGTGGAACGGTTGCCTATTCGGTTGACGTTTGTTACAACCTGTCGGGCTGTCGGTGGATCGTTGGCTCGGTCTTTTGGACGGTCGGTCGATTGTTCGTTTAACATGGCGGACGATCGTTTAGCAAGTCGGATGGTCGGTCGAACGTTCGGTTGGTCGGTCGCTATGTTAGACAAGCACTCGATAACGATGGATTTCGACATGCTGGAAATGTTAACCGATTTTATTACTTTCCATTAGGAACTGATGTTATGACGGTTCAACTTACTCTCCAAGATTTAGAGAGCACTGCGTCAAGTATGCAAGCACAAGGTATCTCACTCGCACTCGATTGGACGGTCAAAGTTTCGAGCCGGTCGATTAACCCTCTCACTCCCGAAATCCCGTTTGTGATTCTCCTTACTATCTGTCATATAGTTCTTTTGATGTTTGTTCGGAGAATTTGGCATCGGATCAACTAGTAATCCCTAATTGATATTTTTCTTTATTCTCATCACGTGTCTGCTTGATTTTGTGTCGACATTGTAAGCAGAACTTCCGTCTTGGTCACTCATGAGATTTAAAGGGTTAAGCTAACCTAGAGTCACCTGTGCGACTGAATATTAGCCGTTGGCGACCAGGATTTTTGTGATGGTTGCCAACAGGTGAATGATTTACTGGCTTGTCGGTGTTCTTCACATGAACCAGCGTTCATGTAAAGAAACTTCCCTCGTTTTCTTTGTTTCGCTCGTACGCATTTAACGTGGTGATCGTTCACGAGTGGGAAAATGTGTTCAGTTTCATCAGTGACACCTCTTGAAAACTGTTTGTTTTCGTATTTCACTGTTTACGACAAATTGTCTCATCCGGCGATTAAAACGAAATTGCCAATCGCTATTGCACGCTGCGTAGGATTGTAAATTTGGAAAGAATAAACCAAAAACGAGCAAGGATGGTTGGCTCTTTAATTCTCAGGAGTGACCAAAGCAGAATTTCTCCTCACAATATCAATATGATATCAAGCAGACAAGCGCTGAGAATAAAGAAAAATATCAATTAAGTGATTATTAGTTGATCCGAAACCAAATTCTTAAAACTAACAACAGAAGAATTGTATGGCAGATATTAAGGAGAATTACTAATGAGATCTTGGGAGTATAAGGGTTAAATATGAGGAATATTATAACGATTGTGAATGAATATTTTGAAATATGTTTTTGAGGCACTCTTAGCTTTCATAAGTGACTGAGACAGAATTTCTCTACACAACATCATTACTATATATCAAGCAGACACTTGATGAGAATAAAGTAAAATATAAATTAGTGGATATACCCCATATTACTGAACTGCAATTATCACAAGTAAAAACATTCATCGCTCGAATACTTATCTGGACAGGTTCGCCTTCGGACGAGAAGGAAGCAAAGGCTATTACAAGTCCAGCAAGCCCGACTAGTCCGCTTAAAGACTGGGATCCAATGAAGGAAGATTTTCTTTCATCTAAAAACAGCTACGCTATAAACAGTGATGACTTGGACATCGTCTTTCAAGGACACCGTAAGTATCCGAGTTTCGCCTTTGCAGCCTTTAATCTGGGCGGTTTTACTAGAAGTATTGCAAAAGCTTGTCTGTAAGTCTGTTCTTTCGATTGATCGTGATAGGAAAAATTAACTCAAGTATGTGTTGCTCAGTAATATTTTTTTCACCAGGGTTTATTTATATACTCCAAAAGTTGAAACTGAATGTGCCTTGTGACCGTGTCGTCTGAAGGACCGTTGTCGGTAGTAGTGACTGACGTTTCGACAACCTGAACTGGCTGTAAGACTCAAGTGCAATAAGTCGGTCGTGATTGACCAGTGTCGATCCGTCGGTAGAATTACGTCGTTCTTTTTGGTTCGTTTGTGATGTAAATGTCGTGAATAAGTCGTTTGTATGGTGCAGGAATTGATGACAGCTGTTGAGGGGAGTCTGTTCTTAGTTTTCCAGAGTCAGTCTTTGAAAAGTAGGTTAGGCATTGGGCAGAGTCTGAGGTCAAGGCCACCTGAAAGTAGTTTTCATTGGAATGGTAATTTACTAAGGTTTTATTCACAGAATCAAAAGCGAGAACCACCTTGTGTGGCACAGTAAACAGCACTACATGGAAGTACAGGCACTTAAGATGAGAACCCGCGCGAACCTCGCGGGCGCTCCTCAAACCTTTTTTTTTCTTAAACCTTGGTTTTTATTTCAGAGGACCTGAGCAGAAGAGTATGCCGTTATTATCAGACAAGATCAGGGTGCTGGCGTGGAGACCAGTGTCCTAATCTTCATGTTAAAAAAGGTATGACTTGACGTGCGTAACATTAAGATGAAACAAAGCTGGCGAATAGATCGTAGGTTTTTTTTCGTACCAGGATCCCATTGCATTTCGTGCCTAGTTATTGTTTCTTAGTTCTGTAGACCCCTGAGGTGGGTGTGCGCGATTTCCCCCCCCCCCCCCTTACTCTCTCCCTCCCTTCGCAATGCACTGTGGGGGAATGCTCGGCTTAAAAGAGGTACTTTTTGTCAGATTTCGTAGAGTATGTATAATCGAGTTGGTCTGTCATAATGTGAACTGTAAAGAAGGGCAAAGAAAGATATCATAAGGTGTTTGAAAAGGTCTCGAAATTTGTCCGTTGTTGGAGTACTTTTAGAACCGGTTACTGACAGAACTGAAATGTGGTTGCGAAAACTTTCCCTCAAATATTTCCCATCTCGATTCCTGGATTGATAGAGGGAACTTTTGTTTTCTCTTTGATGGGTTTTTCATTGATGTTCATTAAACAGGTTTGAAATTTTCCCCTCGCATATCACGCGTTAAAAACTGTAAAAATCCTCGATTGCCCTGTTATTACTTTAACTCACACTCAGGTGAAGAACTTCATGACTACGTGGAGGCCTTTTGTGACAATATGGATTCCTCTGTCACGCTACCTGATATCGGTACCTGGGTTGCAGTTCGCGTCACGGCCATCTTCAATCCGGGACATTTCTGGGTGCAGTTCCCCTACGGAACAGAACCAATAGAAAAACGCATCATGGCTGGTATGTTTTTGGTACAACTGAGCATGCTCTGAGTTATTCTGTCTTGGTCCATTCTTGTACCATATGTTTTAGATGACTATGCGGTCCTATGACGCGCTGGGATCGCAAAGTCTTACTGTTACCCATTACTCTATGGTATCGATTAAGTAAACGAGGTGATTTTCCAGAGAAACTGTGATGATGGGTTGGTGCGGGTATTACGAGATAATTAAGTGTTATCGACTGAGTTGATAATGTAAACTGGCCGCCGCAAAGAGTTTCTTAAGCTGAATTTTTGAGCGTTAGCACTTCGTCAGTTTGCATCAGTATGCATATTCTTCATAGTGTTCTCAGTAAATTTGTTATGATGCTGTCGAAGAGAATTCGTTTAATCATTGAGAGCTTTCTTTAGTCGCCGATCATTCTTATGACCTTAATGTTAGATTAAGAGGTGATGATGTGAGGAGAGATTAGATCCAGGGAGTGGTGTAGTTCAAGAACTGAACACAACTCGGACATAGTTGTAGTATCATTCTATATATCCCCAACATAATTTAAACGTAGTCCTTATTTTTATTTATTAATTCATTTATTTAATTTTTATTTTCAGCGAGGTTGAATCGAGAGTTTGAATTTGATAACGAGGAGCGAGAAGAAGAAGATCTTGATTCTCTGATGGCCAAAATCGGGTGATTTTTTAATTATTTTAGTTTAATTAACCTTTTGTGTTTATTTTTATAGTTACAGTAACTATTAAGACCATCTTTCAGTGACGATCAAAGCCTAGGAAATCGCGCGAAATACCTAACGATTGTTGAGTACGAAAACTCGGTAAAGAGTCAGGCGAGTGAGATACAGGAAAAGCTCTGTTATATACACTTGTGACATTCTTAACAACAATACCACCAGATGCCATAATACCACCTGATACCGGATTTTCGGTTCCAGGACTTACATTCGGTGGTCGCGTGGTCAAAACTTATATAACGCGGATTTTATTGCTATTTAACATAAGAAACTGACCGTGCTTTAAACATACCCAACATGGAAAACATACTTTATTCGTAAAAAGAAAAAGAAAAAAACTAAAACGGAGTGGGTACAAATGGTCCTAGCTGGGTATGAATCGACTGAGTACGAAACGGCCGTGGGTACGAAACGTCTGGTATGCGAACATTCCCTTTTCTAACGTTTTCACGTTTTTCTCCTCGCAGGAAATTTTATTCTCGAAACAATTGTCAAGATCCCAGGCGTATTTTTCCCGCTGAAGGTGAGCTGTGTGTGGCTAGGTACTCCAAAGACGATAAATGGTACAGAGCGCGTATCACAGGCGTGCGAGAGGACGAACTGCAGGTAAAATAAGAATAAATTTCTCTAGTCCCCCCTTAATACTCAGTTGACGACGACTGAACCCCCCTCCCATATACGTTCCCCCAGAAAACAATGTGATCCTCCTAAGTCCTCCGATTTTGTTCATAGTGGCTCAATAGGATTTGTATAGGGCCAGCACGCGCGCTATGTTATAACAAATTTTTCAACCTTATTAAAATCAAGCCAAAGTGCAAAAAGTGCCTGTAGCCTGTAAAAATTGCCTGCTAGTTTGCCATTTTTAGTTTTTAAATTTTCATAATCGCTCTTGGAAACGTCTCACTCGAAGGACTTGATTCTGTACCCTGAAAGAGAAAGAGCCAAAACAATCAGCTTAAGGGGATACAAACAAAGACATAGACATAAAAATATTAGTTAATCTTTGCTAGAAAAATATTAAGAATTCAGAGTGAGAGATCCTAAAATCAGAGAATCTTGAAATAAGTTTAGTCCATCTTGTGCAAACGCAGTATTCGAACTGTAACCCTCTCTATCTCTTGGCGCCAAAATTAGAAGACATGACTTTAGTTGTGAAACCGCTGAGACTCAACAAGGCTCAGGAGAAAAGGCGAACCACGCATGCGTCAAATTATCTGTATATATCGTACCGACCAAGAACTCGTGTCATCTCACCGTGGTTCAGCGTTCATTACAATCAATTTCTTGAACTTTAGACACTTTTATAATAAGGCAGTACCTTGGTTCGTCTGCATCTTGGGCAATGGCAAGGAGATCTTGGACGTCGCAACAATCCTTCTCTGCAATGTAAGATAAGAACAATGATCAATGGAGCGGTCAAGTTCGTGTATGTTAAGTTAAAATAAAATATGTTGTTAAGCAAATTTATTTCGCTTACTTATCCTTTCTTGAGTCTTATTCCATGCGACTGGAGCTAAGAAACAGCCTCTTCAGTGATGCATGAATTCGCTGCTATAATTCATTATTGTGTCCGACGCACGCTGTCTAGGTTCTAATGTGATACCCAGAAGGAGCTGCTTAGACTCACTGGCAAAAGGAGGACGCATTTTGGAGAGAAATCTCTTATACAACAACATTTTACTCATTAAAAAATACACAGCATAAATTAGAGTAAGCCAATCGAGAGTTCGTTGTGCCGGTTTCGACCGAGTGAAAGATCCACTTTTATCGGTATATGGCCCTTATAACATTCCCGAATCCCTACGTCCTTGTGTCGTTCAAGCCGTGATGGGACTTCCATGTGACCATGTGACCATGTGTCCATGTGACCAAAATTGTTGACACTTTTGGGTTGATTATCAGTCATTTCAAGAATTACACCTTGTTAGGGCCAAATTGATAAATCCTACTTGGCTCTCGAAAGGGCCAAATTGAGAAAAAGTTCCAAAGTAGAATTCATTTGGGCCAGTTCTGATTTTGGAGGGGCCGAAATGGTACCTGTCCGACCTGTTTTGGCGTAAATAGTCCAAAACGAACCCCGAGGGGCCAAATTAGTCCTCAAGACGTTAGGACCAATATGGCTTTTGGGGTCAATTTGGCTCTCTTCATTTTATAGTGTGGAACAGTTGATATTTTCAGAGTTTAGTGAATATCTTGGAATGTGAATTTTTCCTCCTTAATATCAGCTTAAAGAGTTTTTTCAAAACATTTAACAGTGGCAGACTTGACCACCTTAATTAGCAGATTGTTCAAATATTTGTTTAATGTTATTACCCTTTATGACAGCGAGTACGTTGGTTTGTCTTTCCTCTTACTTCTTCTATCAGTTTTACCGACACATCTGTCATAAAGATGTGGTGTTTACCAATTACTTTGATCTTATTTTCATTTACTCACAAATCAACGTCAACCACTGAACCTTCCCTTTCTGTGAACTGGGATTTCCGGCGACTCGAGGAGGCTGATATTGTGGGGTTGATAACAGCGGTCCGCTACAACGATGGTAAATCCTTAGACTTCATCTTAGTCCATAAAAATGAAGAAAAAGAAGTCGGTCATTATCAAGCCATCTCGACCGAAAAAACTCAATCAATAAAGCATTTGTATTCAGTCTATTCATCTCCACCTCCCTGAATGAATGTTAAATATTTATATAAAGGAATTCGGACTGGTGTTTCAATCAATAAAGTGATTCTTTTTCTGGTTATCATCGCTAGCTAATTAACAGTTGACATCAGAGTTTAGTGAATATATTGGATCCCCTGTCGCTCAGCTTGTTTGGCGTAGAATGAATGTAGATGGGTAAATATTTATATAAGGGGCTGGTAAGTCAGCCGATAATGTCCGCGGCTGAGCTATTGTCCAAAACTGAATACGAGAAGTAAAGCTTTGAGGGCAAATGTGACTTTTTCCTCCTTAATATCAACTTAAAGAGTTTTTTCAAAACATTTAAAAGTGGCAGACTTGACCACCTTAATTAGCAGATTGTTCAAATATTTGTTTAATGTTATTACCCTTTATGACAGCGAGTACGTTGGTTTGTCTTTCCTCTTACTTCTTCTATCAGTTTTACCGACACATCTGTCATAAAGATGTGGTGTTTACCAATTACTTTGATCTTATTTTCATTTACTCACAAATCAACGTCAACCACTGAACCTTCCCTTTCTGTGAACTGGGATTTCCGGCGACTCGAGGAGGCTGATATTGTGGGGTTGATAACAGCGGTCCGCTACAAGGATGGTAAATCCTTAGACTTCATCTTAGTCCATAAAAATGAAGAAAAAGAAGTCGGTCATTATCAAGCCATCTCGACCGAAAAAACTCAATCAATAAAGCATTTGTATTCAGTCTATTCATCTCCACCTCCCTGAATGAATGTTAAATATTTATATAAAGGAATTCGGTTGTGACTGGTGTTTCCAATATTGGTGATTCTTTTTACGGCTTTGGCTGGTTATCATCGCTAATTGGTAGCTAATTAACAGTTGACATTTTCAGAGTTTAGTGAATATATTGGATCCCCTGTCGCTCAGCTTGTTTGGCGTAGTTTTCAACAAGTGTTGTCTTCATTTTCTATGAAAGTGTTAGATATTACTTCACAGCGGCGTAGATGGGTAAATATTGAGTAAATAAACCCTTGTCAGGGGCTGGTAAGTCAGCCGATAATGTCCGCGGCTGAGCTATTGTCCAAAACTGAATATTTGTTCGAGAAGTAAAGCTTTGAGGGCAAATGTGACTTTTTCCTCCTTAATATCAACTTAAAGAGTTTTTTCAAAACATTTAAAAGTGGCATACTTGACCACCTTAATTAACCGATTGTTCAAATATTTGCTTAATGTTATTACCCTTTATGACAGCGAGTACGTTGGTTTGTCTCGCCTCTTACTTCTTCTATCAGTTTTACCGACACATCTGTCAGAAAGATGTGGTGTTTACCAATAACTTTAATCTTATTTTCATTTACTCACAAATCAACGTCAGCCATTGAATCTTCCCTTTCTGTGAACTGGGATTTCCGGCGACTCGAGGAGGCTGATATTGAGGGGTTGATAACAGCGGTCCGCTACAAGGAAGGTAAAGAGAGTCGACTTCATCTCGGTCCACAAAAATGAAGAAAAAGAAGTCGGTCATTATCAAGTTATCTCGACCGAAAAAACTCAATCAATAAAGCATTTGTATTCAGTCTATTCATCTCCACCTCCCTGAATGAATGTTAAATATTTAAATACAGGAATTCGGTTGTGACTGGTATTTCCAGTATTGGTGATTTTTTTTACGGCTTTGGCCGGTTATTAGCTCTCATTGGTAGCTCAGGAACAGTTGATATTTCCAGAATTAGTGAATATCTTGGATCCTTAGTTAATTAGCTTGTTTGACGTAGTTTTCAACAAGTGTACGGTGGCGTACCTGGCCTCTGACATGTTTCAGTGGTTTTACTGACACATTTGTCAGAGAGATGTCTTATCTACCTATCACTTTGATCCTCTTATTTACTTACAAATCATCTTCAGCAATTGAATCCTCCCTTTCTACAAACTGGGATTTCCAGCAACTCAAGGAGGCTGATATTGAGGGGTTGATAACAGATGTCCGCTACAAGAACATTATTGACAAATATCAAATCAAAACTGGACACAGAGGTTACCCCGACGTAAAGGACATCAAACTTTTGAGAGTGGTAAAAGACAGGGTAAAGCAAAACTTGTCGCAACAGAATTTCCATACCAATGTTTCTCAAGGAACAGAGTTTCCAGTGCGCTTTCTCGATGACGCAGAAGACGAGAGAACGCATAAACTACACATTATAGCCAAAGGCCCCGAAAGTGGTGCAGTTTGCTTTGACGGAACCCCTCCTGGATTTTATTTTCGCAGTGGAAATGGCTCGGGAAAATCGAAGTGGATTATATATTTTCAGGGGGGCGGATGGTGCTACCGTATCGAGAGATGTTATAGAAGAAGTGTGACAGCGCTTGGCTCGTCCAAATTTTTCCGGAAAACTATTCTCCTGGAGGGACTCCTTTCCAACCAAGCTAAATACAACCCCGATTTTTACAACTGGAACTCAGTCTTTGTGGCATACTGCGATGGTGGGTCTTTCACTGGAAATCGCGATAAACCATTAAAATTTAAAGACAGACTGCTCTACTTCCGAGGTCACCGAATACTTGATGTTCTTTTAGACGAGTTGCTCCGGAAAGGTCTCGACAGTGCTTCCGACATAATAGTCGGTGGAAGATCGGCTGGGGCCCTTACTGCCATCATACACGCCGACTATATCGGGTCGCGTTTACGACGCGCGACGAACGCATCTTTTCGGGTGCTTTCTGATGCGGGTTTTGTCTTAGACGAACGCGCGCTGAATGGCTCTGCAATGGCACAGTCTATGTTTCAGCAGCTCTACTCTTTGCATAATGCTTCAAAGAGTTTAAATCGAGCTTGTCTTCGCGCGCAAGGGTCGGATCAAAAATGGCGCTGTTTTTTTCCTCAGTATTCTATCCCTTTTGTCACTTCCACGATGTTCTTAGTGAGCCCCTTGTATGATTTGTGGCAATTGTTTTATTTTT